CTTGATAGTCCGAGCCATTTTTCAAAATTTGAAATTTTTCGCGAGCCGCAATTAAATACGTATTAAAAAGGTATGCAAAAAATTCCAGAATTATATCCGTAGCAAGAGTGATACAAATTGTTTCTTCCAGAGCACAATGTCAGCTGTCCATTGCAATGACAGTTTACAAATTCAAAATCAATCTGGAGTCGGTCGATAATGGACGATTACGCCACTGTTTATGTTCATTCGCGCAGTTTTCCATGAGTCATATCATTCTTAACTTGGACGAGAATAAAATTTGTTACAACATTGCACTTAATCTTTCATATTTGTTGTTAGTAATTTAAAAGACATTTTGAAACACATACGGAACAATAATAATTTTTTAAAATATAATAACACAAAAATGAAAAGGGAACTCGGGTACATTTATCGAGAGCCACAAATAATCATTCAAAGAGCCGCAGGTTGGCCACTCCTGGTATATACAATATCTAAAAGTTTACTCTTCATCCACAGTGCTTGTAGCTATATTCTTGGTGGTACAGGGGTAAATTAAGTTTGCTTGTTCTAACTTGGATCTCGCTTAATATTGATTCTAGTTATGTTGCTGTTTGTCAGTACCTCTATTTTAGACAGCCACAAGCCACCACTGGTTGAAATTCAAAGCAATACAATAAAAATTAGTAATAACAATTAGTGTAAACATTTTTAAGAAATAAGACTTAAGATGGACTTAAAATCAAGATACATCAAACAGTCTTTGGGGCTGTTCAAGTGTTACATCAGCAAAAATTTGCTCTTTTCTGATTCCTCTCCCCAAGCATAGTCAATTATCAGCTCAGAAGTTTAAATCATTTGAAAATATACAAAAATTTTCAAATAATTTTGTGATGACTGGGGAAAAAAATGGACAAAACTGGTATAATCTTATGTCATCAAAGATTTCCCCCCATTTTTCAGCAATCATCAGATATAAACAATCTTCCTTCCCTATAAACTGCTAATGTAATACTTGAATGAATACTTTTGAAGGCACTAATGGTTAAGCTTTCAACATCTCTCAAAATCTAAAACACTAGTTTTTTTGAAATTTCATATTTTTCTGATAACATAATCAACATACTCTTTCAACTAAACTAGTTTATTTTTCTGCAAGAGTCTTAATATGTCTTAACTGTAATGTTAACTTAACATTACAGTTATTTAGTAATTAGTAAACTTAGTTTAATTATAGTGTCTGTATTTGTTTGTGTATGTAAATAATATTTAAAAATAGAGGATTTAAAAAAAATTTATAATGTTCTCTGAATAAATGTTTATGACCTATATCTGTGTAGAGAATGATTACTTTTAAATGTCTTCAAAAAAATTAATGTGAACAATATCATATTTTTGAATATCTTATCTGTTAATTCCTATCAGATATCCTATGTAGAAACAATCATTTTTTAATCATATTTACTATTACAAAAAATTCCTGTAAACTTCCAAAAGTATATGTTTTTCCATTTAACAGAGAATATAGAAATAAAAAAATTTTAATTGATATAAACTAACCTTTTCAATGACATTTCTTACCAAACGAGATTTACTACGAGAACAAGACATAATGGTAGTGGAAGGACCATTCCACCCTACATGTGAGAGCAGCAACAATATTACCACCTAATGTACAAAAAATGAAATAAAATGCTTTACATCTGTAATTTTTAAATTTATAATATAATACTTAAATAAAAAGAAAATACAATTACTTTTCAAAAAAATATGTTATTTTTATTGATTATGAAATTGTTATTAATTGAAAGTTCTTTATTTTTTAAAATTAATCAAATACTTACCACATTTTTGTGCATATAACTAGATGTACTACTACTGTATTTGATTAATGCAATTTTGATATATGTTAGCATCAAGGGATTAATTAATCATGTTAATCAAGGAATACCTATATATAAGTTATTATACGAAATTAAAATTAATGCTTTTATCAAAACCAGCATTGATCAAAATGATATATTAAAAAAAAAATGATTCTATTAGAGTGGCTGAGTGCCACATCCTCCTGCAACAGCACCGTTAAATAGTGCAGTGCCATATCCCACAACTCCCACTCTTAGAACAGTCCTGCTCATTTGGCCACTGCATCTTATGATTTCATGAATTGCTTGAGACATCACTGCACTGTTTAGCAGTGTTGTCACAAGCAAAGTGGCTGCATGGTAGGAATTAGTAAGTCAGAGAAGATGTGCAGAGAACTCCATAACTTGTAAATATGAAAAAGACAAAAATTTCTAAACTTGAATTAATTAATTTTAATTAAATTAAAGATTTATATTTTATTAATGNTTCAATTTATAAGACGAAAATTCAGATTTGCCACAGAACAAGCAATGAAAAATGCGGTTGTAGTGTAGCTACCCGTATAAAATAGTTCTAGATGACATCAGTGGTGTACATGAACACGAATGCATCGTGTAACGTACAAGCAAAAAAAAAAAAGGGGGGTCAACAGGTCGATTGCACCGAATTGTGTAAGAAATACACTTGCGAAGAGATACTGTAAAAAATTAATTTCCTATGTAATATTCATAATTGCAATGAAGCCAAATCTGGCAATGTTGCTCGGAACCGACTGAAGCGCCACTTGTAGTCGTCCAATGCGCCAAGTTTGGCGCATGCGCCACGTTTTGGCCACCCCTGCTCTACTGTATACTGAAATAGTGTATACTGGGCAGAAAATTGCTAAAACAAAAATAAAACCTTTGCATGACCCATTTACCATATTCCCAAAATCTGTGGAAGAAGTTATTGTCCAATAGGCATGAGTTTGTGATTAGAATTTAAAACTGATGTATAACATACACCACTTTCAAATTGCCTTTTTTAACACATAACCTGTGGATTATATGCACAAAAATGCTATAATTAAAAATATTTTAACTCAGCAATATTTTTAATGAACATAAAATAGCATTATATTTACTTAAGAATTATAGACAAACTTGGTAAACATTTTATTTTTATTTAAGATGCTATATTTAAGATGTTTCAAAATTTCCTGATGCAAAGATATGCTTATATTTAAAAATTCTACTGCTGGAATCAATGTAATAAAAGTGCACAAAAATACTGTAATATCTTTGATGTCTTCATGTTCATAAGAATACATAACTGCAAGATTTTTTCCAAAGGGATGGAAACATGAAAACATTGAATACTACTGTAATCTAATTAGAGGATGATACAAACAACTTCCAATTAACAGTTCTTACCAGTTTTAAATTGATGTTAAATATTTCTTTAACTTGCTAGAAAATATACATTCTGGGCACAAAGTCCTGTCACTCCTATAAAAATTAACTATATGTTCCATTTGTTGTTTGTTTCTGATAAAAGAACATGTAAAATGACTGATTCAAGTAACTATATGAATGAAAATGAAAAGAGGTAAAAATGTTTACCACTTTTCATTTTCATTCTTCTCATTTTTACCTCTCTTCTGTTTAACATAAATAGACATTAGCAAAAAATAAAGGTTAAAGACTTATAATAACCCTCCAAATGCTGTATAACATTGGGCTATAATTTGGCAATAATAATTAAAACTTACTAATAAATTTGGCAGAGGGAGGTGACACCATATAGACTTACAATATTCTAATCAGTTAAAAGTCAGCTATTAAGGGAATCAACTATAAAAGGAAATTATTTTTTTTAATTTTAAATGTTTATATTCCTAGATGTTATAACAGAGGGAAAGTATGGTGATATGGCAAAAAATAACCTCCAGATTTTTACATTTTTGGACTTAGGACATCTTGAAACGTCAAGAAATGCAAAAAAATTTGGGGGTAATTTCTTTATGTATGGATGTTAGTGTGTGTGGGGGAGGGGCACAATTTTGTTCACCTTGTTTAAAGCTTAATAATTCCTGTGCTTTTTGTTGAATATTTCTGAAATTTTGCAGGAGGTTTGTTTATTAGGGGGGATTGTTGCTATTAAATTTTGGTGGTTAAAGGTTGAGAAAGTGGGGAAATAATGGGGATCATGTGTATCTCCAGTAGGGTTAGAATTAATGATGATTTTATTCATTGTCAGCATTTACAATTTTTTTAATAATCTGTTACCTTATTTTATTAAAAAACTTATAAGAAGTTTTTTAATAAAATAAGGTAACAGATGGTGCCACCAAAATTTTAAATGTTGCCAAGAAAATTGATCAACTCATTGCGGGTTTATTTTAGATACTTAAGTGTTATTCATAAAGATAGCATGCAACTTAAATGAGTAATTTTCATATTGTAAATGAATGAAATTTTAATTAAATTTTGTAACATTTCATTTAATATATAAGAATTATAGTCATTTATATAAATAAAATGATCTTATTCAAAATTGTTCCTTGCAGGACATATAAAGAAGGGTAAATACACATTTTGTGGTTGTACATGAATTGAGACAAGAGCCAGGCTATTACTGTATTTTGAAGAGTATAAGTCGCACTTTTTTTACTACTTTTTGGGCTCAAGATCATGGTGCGTCTTATACTCGACAGGTAACCATTTTTACAGTGAAATTACCTACAGTAGTGGTCCACTCTAGGGACCAACCTGTGCAGTGGTCCGTTAAGCAGATGGTCCCTCAACCGAATGGCTAGAGTATCTAGATCAGCGTTTCTCAAAGTGGGCGATAACGCCCCTTGTGGGCGCTGGAGGCTTTCAGGGGGGCAGTAGAAGGCTCAAAGAGAATTGGGGGGCGTTAAGGAAATATAGAGGGGCAACGGCAGACAAATTCTATATATAAAAATTCGACGGAATATATATAAAATGTTGACATTTTATATATTTTTTATTTTTTATTGAAGGTCACAACTTGAATATTTCTAACACATTGACTTTTATTTTAGCTCAGCGTTTCTCAAAGTAAGCAATAACGCCCCCTTCTGGCGCGATGAATAGATCTATGATAGAGGCAGGGTATTGAACGGTGACCAAAGGCAAAATTGGGGCTGATAAGAGGAAACATTGCGTTTAATGGTTTCCAGATGATGAGAACAATGTACAGTAAGGGCACAAAGTGTGAGATTCATAGAAAAGTTTTCCTAAGAATATTTCCAATCCTTTTCTCACACAAGAGAAAATGTGTTAGGGGGCGTTGGGTATAACTTTATGGAACAAAGGGGGCGGTGGATCGAAAAAGTTTGAGAATCACTGATCTAGATTATCAGAGTAGTGACACACAAGTCAAGTCATTGCTGCCATGTTCTGTCGACTGTCATCACGTGACCGCTGAGTTTACATTAAGAAATGACGATTATTTCAGTTTAATAAAGGTATTGATTCGTCCATCCGTCATATTCTTGAATAAAAAAACAAATAAAATGCATCTTTAGACAATCCCATTAAAACAGTTTTTTTCTAAATTTTTTGTCTCAAAATAGGGGTGTGTCTTATACTCGTCAAAATACGGTATATGATATCAGTTACTATTTTATTATATTCAGTCATTCCATATACCAAAGGTTACTTTATAAGTAAATATATCATTAACTATGCATAAATATAAAGTGATACAAAAGATTGCTAAAAAAATTAATCATAATTATTAAAAAATTTTTTAATTTTTTAAGAAACTAAGTTGTCTTCCTTTTTGCCACGTCCAATCATCAAGAACAAAAACAATCTTCTCAGAGACAACCTATCATTGGAGGCTACACCTCTACAGAATTATGTAAAACAGTACAGCAGAAAAAAAAGATGACTTAGTTTCTTCAAAACTTTTTAATTTTTAAAAAATACCATCGGCCATTTTAATTAAAATTGTGTATATATTTTTTTATTTGGCATCACTGAATGTTTCAACTGTTTTACATAATTCTGCAGAGGTATAGCCTCCAATGAAAGGTTGTCCTTGCAAAGAAAGACTGTTTTTGTTCTTGTGATTGGATAGAAAGGAGATGATTTAGTTTCTTCAAAAGTTTTTAATTTTTTTAAAAATAGTCAGCCATTTTAATTAAAATCATAATTGTTATTTATTTTTCTTTCTCTTTATCCAATATTCTTAAATATGCATTTTCTTGAACTAGCTTCATCTTACATTAATTTGATTCAAATAGTATTTTCAATAATATCAAATTTATTATTAGAATTTTAAAATTTCAAGTTTTTATTCACTAGATCTAAATTATTGTATCTCATTATTTACTGCTTTAGATGTATATCAGTTTAATTTAATTTAGTTTTGCTAGTATTCCAGAACATGTTAACTACAATTACTAAGTGAACAAATTAAAAGTAGTTTAAGTTAATTTAAAAACTTAAAAATAAAATATCGTACATTCCTTTTGATACAACTATTTTAAAATTTGTCACAAAGAAAAACTGATATACATATACATGAAATATGTTTCTGACTACTAATAATAATACTTCCATTCATTGTATAATGCTTTTATATAATTTTTTATATGAAAATTACNAAAAAAAAAAAAAAAAAACAAATTTTCATTATTCTAATAGAACATTTTTCCAATTACTTTGTTTCCTGCCTAATTTAAATATGCTAATATAAGCAATTATAAAAATTCCTTCTACATCACAAACTGTAATTATGAGCTAGCTGCAAACTGTAATTCTATATTTAAAAAAAATTCTTCAAAAAATATATAAATAATATGGATTTAAAAGAAATATATATTTATTATTTAAAAATAAATGTGTGCATTATTTAATAGAAAACAGTCAATCAATGCTAACATTAATCAGTTGCCAAATGGCAAAGTTCAGTGTAAATACAATGGCTTATTTAACATCAATCATTCTTAATATAAAAATCTATAATATTAATAAAATATAAAGTGAAAATATTATGTAGCAAGAATTAATTCATTGCAACTTTACTAAAGATTGTTTAGTAGCCAATTTGTTTTACTGCATAACAACAGGACATGCAATGAAGTTACATTTACAGCTGCAAAATTTGATTTACCTTAATGTATATTTGTTTATTTTTTTTAAAATCTAATTTTATTAAATAATTACAGCTTAATTATATTTTATTATAAATATATAGTTGATATTTATGTTTTACATTCATTTATTTTTATTTTATATAAAAACTGTTCTGTAGTTAGTTTATAAAGCAGTTAAATTAATAATAAATAAATTTTCTATTAAAACAATAAAAAAAATCAAGCAAATAATTAAAAGTGAAATTGACATATTGAAATTGATTATTTAAGTCTCGTGCAATCGGTTACTTTAGCATTTTGACGTCTTTTTATTGGTTATAAATGAGCGGGTGGACGTGATTGATTACACCGCTCCGAATTAAATTATACAAAGGAAAATTAATAAACATACCAACTGTCATTTTTAAGCCTAGATTTAGGGTTAGCCAACAGATTCGTAGCTAAAACTATTGGCTGAATGACTCTCAATGTAATAAATGTGTGACTCATCGAAATCTCATATAAGACATAAATTGTCAACAAAAATAAAGCAAACTTACTTCTACACAAAAATATTTACGATTCATTTATCGATTCTGAAAATGGACTACATATTCGCCCTCTCCGATTGTCAACGACGATCGACGACGTTGCGTCATTTCCGGGATGTGGCACGTGATCGTTTTGGCGCAAATTTTCACCGTGCACACGCGCTTCTAGCCATGAGTCACACGTGTTACTTTTCGAATTCTATCTTTTAAAAATTTACACAATTCTATTTACGTAGTGAAGAAAATGTCGGAATTATTTAATTACGTTGGCGAGATACGTTTCGAATGTCCGAAACATATGCAAGGATATTTACTTTCGGAGAATTTGTACGCTCTTTTCGTCAATTATATTAGATCTTGCAGATTCAGAGCTCCGAAGGCTAAACAATTGACAGAACTTATCATGACATTTCAAGATGGTGCTAAACGCGATAGAAGAGCCCTTCAGAGTAAATTTAAGAGTTGGTCACGCAGAATGGATGTCAGAGAAACAGATGGAAAGCTCGTTATTCGGCAAAGCGGCAAAGAAATTTTACCTATAGAAAAATGTTATTCTTTAGTTATGGAATTACATTGTCAAACGGAAGAACATAGAGACATTGATTGTATCGTACATGAGGTAAACGCAAATATTATGGACGATTTTATTTATCTAATGCTGTATAATTTCAGAATACAAAAATTTCAAAAATATGAAGTACCTAAAGAACGGAACTAGCTACAGTTGGAGAAATTTTGTAGCAGGAAAAAAATGGATGTCATCGGTTTTAGAATTAAATTAATTTTAAAATATTTAATGTATGATTTATATAAGTGTAAGCTGGGAAATTTATAAGATATTTGACCATGTTATAATGTCAAATATCTTATAAATTTCCCATTTAGCTCTTAAAAGTTGGTATACTTTTACCAATGGTTAATAATAATTCAAATTAACAACTGATAAAAAAGTGAAAATAATTTAATAATAATTGCAATTTTTAAACAATAAAATGTAATATATCATAAAACATAATTTATAATTTGAAGATGTTATATTTATTTTGTGTAGATAAGGATGTGACAATTAAAAATTGTGATAAGACAATATTCATTTTAAATGAGTTAAATTATGCACAAATAATTTAATTATATAATTATATTTTAATTGTAGTGTTTAAATATTAAAATATACATTTTCATTATTATATAAAATATATTACATATATAAAACATTTTTTAAAAATATTATTATACATTAAAATTCAAATATAAGCTGTTTAAAATATTTTTATACTTAATACATTCATAAAATTAATTTTGGTAGATACGAAAAACTTATTCTTGGGGTCGAAGAGATTTTGGTATGGATTGGGATGTGGTCTCAGCTATACTTAAAACCTGTAATAAAATAGAATGCCAACAAAAACTTCAAATGAGATTACAGCCAAAATGTGTATCATCTCCACCTTTAAAAAGAATGAAGATTTTAGATATTATTCAAGAATCTAGTATGAGAATTCAAAAATTAATTTTTAATTTATGAGGATTTTGAAAATTTAAAAATTTTAATTTAAAGTATTTTCTCTATTCATAAATCTTATAAATCTCTTTAATGTTGTTATAAAATTGTGTTAATTTTAGCTAATTTGGACAAAGAAAATCTAATTCAAATTTTTGAAATACCAGTAAATATTTTAAAGTTAAAATAATAAAAATTAAAAAAAAAATCTTTTAATTTCCAATTTCTTCGTCATAATTTATATGATTATTTTAATTTAAATTATTTTCAATTTCAGATAATTTTGTCCAAAATCAAAATTTTCGTTCAATTATGCCAATACTAATTACATCAGATAACAAAATTAATAGTGAAGATGCATTTGTACAAGTTACAGGAGTTAAGGAAGAAACTGAATCAAAACAATTGTTAACAGCTGTCAGTTCTGCAGTTATTTCTTCACAATTAGAAATAAATAAATCTTTAACAAATAATTTACAACATGAAAAAAGATACAGCTATAAATCTAACTCAAAATCAAATACAGTCAGTAAAAAATTAAACAAAAAAATAAGTTTTAAGATAGAAATTGATTCTTCAGACTCTGATCTTAAATGTTCAGATGATTTTAAAAATGATTTGAAAAATTTTATAACTTCTTATTTTAAAAACCAAACAAAATCTAATGAAAATAATATTAAGTCAGATGTTTTAAATACAAATAAACTACTAATCCAAAATTACCCAGTTTGGCAGAATATATTATTGTCGTCAAATTCTAAATCACCTTTCAGAATTTTAACAAGTAAAGAACAAAATATTTCAATAACACCTATAAATTCATCATCACACAGACAGCAATCTTTAAATTCAGGATATTTCATTAATTCTTCAATTCAAAATATAAGCAATAATAATACAGCCAGTATCTTAACTTACACACTTCCTGACATGCCACTCTCTTTTACTCCTAAAATACAATGTCTTATATCATCATCTAATGCAGAAATGAATTCTGATAGAAATTCAAATCAGAAGTCCCTAAATCAAAATCATGACAATGACGATTACTCATCTTGTCAGATTACACCTGTTAAAATTCAAAGTAAAACTGTATCAGTGCCTACTGAGATTGATATAAATACATTGAATGATGATGTTCTAAACAAAAAATCATTTAAATTTAAATATGTATTAGAAAAACCTGAAAGAAAACTGGAAAATAACTTAAATATAAAATCAAGTAAAAACAATAGCCAAAAACATTTAAAATCAAAAATAATTAGATATTGTAAAACGAAATCTGTTCTGAAAAATAATGTGGAATCTAAAAAACAAATGGACAATGATAAAAGTAAGTATGATATATATATTTTTAATTGTTTTAGATATTAAATTGTTCATTAATTTTTTCTGCTTTAAGTTTCATAAATTCAAATTAAATAAATCATTTAAACAGAGTAATAATTAACATTTTTTGAAACTTATAAAACTTTTAAACATATTAATTTAAAATTTTTTTACAAAATGACTTGTATAAATCACTTAAATGATTTAAATTATTTAAAGTTTTATAATAATTAATATATTGAAACTATTTGATTTATTTAGTTTTTTATGAAAGTAGTGACATTAAATCATATTTTTCAAATAGTACAAGGGGTATTCAAGTTATAAGATCTCCCATTTTTTTCTGAAAAAATACTTACACAAACAAATTGAAACTTCTGTCACTTCTCAACATAATCTCCTTGCAGACATATGCATTTTTTACAATGTCGATGCCATAACATCATGGCCATTGCAAACACTTTAGGGGTCTGTTTTGATCAGTGGAAAATTGCTGATGCTAGAGCAGCATGACTAGAAAATGTCCATGGTCCTTCATCGTTGGAAAAAGCCAAAAATTGCTAGGAGCAAGGTCAAGTGAGTATAGAACTCTTCAAAGTTGTTTACATAAAGAAACTTCTGTGTTAACATCACCCGATGAGCTGGAGCATTGTCTTGATGGAAGAGCACACATGCTGCCTTTTATGGCCATTTTTCTCACAATGCTGGAAGCAATTTCCTCCTCAAAACATCTTCATAGAATGCAGTTGTCTCTGTAGTATCCTTTGGAATGCAACGAGTGAGGATTACACCAGTGCTGTTCCAAAACATGGCCACTATCATTTTCTCAGCACTGGTGGTAACCCAATGCTGAGAAATGGATTTTTCCCCAGCCCAGAGAAAAGTTTTGAGTCCATTGTGATTCCTACCTCTATAAACTTATTGTTATTTTTACTAACAGAAAATAAAACCTTTAATATTGCTTTTTATTAATAACATTCTATGTATTTCATTTGTTCAACAAAATTTCTTTGGTTGTGATGAGGCAGTGTGTTTCCATTGTGCTGACTGCCGCTTTGTTTCTGGATTGATAAACAGCATCCATGTCTCATCCATCGTGACAGCTGACAAAAAGAAGGCACCATTCCTGCAATCATCATGTCATAACACCACCTGACAAATTGCCACGCATGCAGCATTTTGGTCGTTCGTCAGCATTCTCAGCACCCACCTGGAGGACACTTTCCTCATTATCAGGTCTTCATGCAAGATTGTGTGCACAGATCCCACTGAAATGCCAACATTCAAGGTGACATTTTCCACACTTAATCATCAATCCTCCAAAACAACTTGCTCCATGCATGCAATCATGTTGTCAAACCAATTGGTGCATGTGCGTGGATGTTTTGGTTTGTTGACACACGGTGTTTGCCCTTTCTTGAACATTGCATCCATGAACACACATTTTTCACATCCATGACACCATCACTGCATGTGTCATTCAACTGGCGATGAATTTTGATGGATGTCACTCCACACAAATGCAGAAAACAAATGATTATGCATTGTTCTTGTAATGAAAACATTGCCATTTTTAGTATCAAAAACGCATCTCACTTGAACTGCTGCCACTAGAATTCTGTGCACCATGTGGTCCTGCTCTCTCTGTTAGCGACAACAAAGAGTGTCTGCTTCTTTTAAAAAAACCACATGTTGCTACCTGCTCCCTTCCCCTAGAGAAAAAAATAGACCTTACAACTTGAAAGCACCTTGTATTTGAATTTATTTTACAGGAAATTTTACTAACTTTACTGAATAATTTTAGTTATAAAGTTATCTACAAAATTTCCTTGTACAGGAAATTTTATAACTGACTCTATATTTATATTATTTCTTTGTAATAAAGATTTAATTTGTTAGATAAAATTCATCAACAATGATTTTAAACAATGTTTATTGATTCACATTATGGTTTAATTACAAAAAATAATTCATATTTCTTTATTCTTACTTTAAACAATTGTATTAAAAAAATTTTATATTTACCATAACTTTTGCATTTATCATTATTATATTTTATTTATCTAAATAATATAATTAATTACATGAATAAATAGAAAATAAAATTATTTGTTTTAGATATTTAAGTAATTCATACAATTAGACATTAAAAAAAAAGAGAGAGAGAGAGAGAAAAGAACAATTTTACCATAAGCTATTGATGAAGTTTTTATGAAAATAAATTAAAAACTCATATAAAATTTTTTTAAAATTTACATTTTTAATTTAAGATATTTCTTTTAGATGTGTGTAAGGACTATTCATATAAAGATATAATTTTTAAATACTTTAAAAGATATTTGCAAAAAATGAAACTTTTAATTTATTTAGCAAAAATGGCATATAAAACATAATAAAACCTTAAGTACAGTTCCATGCAAAACATTACTTTTGTGTATATGTATGTGTTCATGAATTATATTATGTACAATTATAATTTATTTTTAAATATTTTTTTCAAAATAAAGAAACAAATTATTTCATATGTACATTTAATGTTGAATGTTTCCTTAGTATATAATTAGGGCTGTTGAGAAGTGTGCTATGGACTTTTCCCCAGCCCAGAGAAAAATTGAGTCCATAGTGATTCCTACCTCTATAAACTTATTGTTATTTTTACTAACAGAAAATAAAACCTTTAAGACTGCTTTTTATTAATAAAGAAACATTCTATGTATTTCATTTGTTCAACAAAAAAAAGAAAACAATGGCTAAAGGGGCCTACTCCTACCTCAGGACCCATACAAGCTCTTATGGTCTAGATGTGATTTATCTTCTTGTGTATAAATAAATCATAATTTATGTAAAGTAGAATAAAATCCATTTCTTTGTTATAGAACTTGTGCTTCAAATATATTTAAATTATATTCTTTATAATTTAATTATAACAATTTAAATCATAAAAGCATTTTTAAAAATAAATTTATCATTAATATCAATAGTTAAATATTGTACTACTGATATTTACAATTAATTAATGACTAAACTTAAGTATGTCATATTATAATTGTTATTGTTTTACTAAAAATTTTAGTAATAATTTCAAGAGTAAACATTTCATTTAAGTTAATAATTATGTGCTGTTTTCCTAAAATGATAATTTATCTTATTGTATGTCATTGCTTGGCAATCAAAATTTCATATCTGCATTTCCTAAAATTTTACAGGAGCTAAAAAACATGTTTTCAAGAGCAAAATTTTGAGTATGAGGTTGTGAGTTTTTGCAATGTCTAAGAGAGATTAGAGCAATGTCTAAGAGGAGAGAGTGTACACATCACTTATTAGGTTTGGGCAGTATGTAGAAATTGACTTTACAACCTCATTAATGCAACCTTTGCAAAATGTAATTTTGATCCATTATTAGAGATACAAGGTTTTGATCATCAATTAGTGATATGTCTGAAGTTACCAATATCTTTGTCATACTGGAATACAATATACAGCTATTATACAGGGTGGGCCAAAAGTCACTTACTTATTTTATTATTTTACTAAATTTATTTCCGAATTCTGTATTTTGAAAATCTGAAAAAAAAAATATATATATATATATATATANATTCATACATGTCTCCAATATCCAATAGAGCTAAGTCATCTGATCTGTAGTTGTTTTTTCTTAATTTAGTTACTTACGTTACTCTTACCCAAGTCTCCCTAGTCCCTAACTGTAACTGATTTAGAACCGGCATGCACTGCACATTATTCTTTGCATTTCAAAATGACATTGCACATGTGTCAGGAACTCCTGTTCGAACAAACTTCACCTGCCATTTGGGTCAGCGATTTTGAAAAGGTGGCAACACTATATATGAGTATATAAATTTTTACAACTATTTGAGTTCACATTTATTTTTATAAAATTAAGTTCAAAAATCTGAATTTATTCATTCATTCAGTGTCTACATCTCCAATAAAAAAAAAAAAATGCAATAGAATATTATTTAATGAAAATTCATTCTCCCATTTCACAAATTATGCTTAATCTTGGCATTGTGCTATTAAATAAGACAAGATATCAAACAAACTAAACAGAAGTTTGTTATTTTGAATATATTTTACACCAAAGCAATCATCATTGAAAATTTTAAATTTTAAAAATAAAACAATGCATTTTTGATCAGTCATTTAAGTATATTTAAGTTTTTAAATTGTTTTATAATATAATTTTATTAATTCTTTGACAGATGTTGAAGACTTATATGAATCTCTCATTGAATCTATTCATTCCATAAAAGGCAAATCACTACATATTGGTACTAGTAGAGGAAAAGACATAGAGTTTACAAAAGGTAGTATGTTGTTATATCCTTTATACAGCAAATTTTTATATTAACATATTTATTTTGGTTGTATAAATAAAATCATTAATTTCAATTTTCATCTTGTAAATAAAACATTTGGCATACTATATATTGTTTGTATATAAGAAAAAATCTTGGAAATATGTATTAATGTATATTATTTTCCAACAAGGTTAGAAGCAATTTTTTTAATTTAGATAATTTAATATTTCTTATCTATAGTTTTTTTTCTAAATTTTTGTACAAATCAACAAGTTGCTAAAAAAGATCTTCCTCAGTGTGACAAACAAATAAACAAGTTATATTTTTTATATTTTCTAGTTTATGGAGTATAGTAGGGTAGTAGGGATTAAGACTGAATTATTGATAATATTTTAATGAATAAAATCTGTAAATTTATATTCATTTAGGTATGTGAACATTTAATTTATCTTCATTTTATAATTTAGGAATAGATCGATGTTTGATTCAAATCAAAGAATTAAAAAAGAAACTTTAGCAAGCATCAGGTATTTTCTAAATTTTTTAATACAAGTATATACTTAACAATATTTATAGTTACAAAAGTATACAGTTTTGAAACTAATTAACTTAACTAATATAATTACTAAATCATATTCAATTACTCAAAGCTGGGTGTATATGAATAAAACATGTGAAACCAATCTTTGTTTCATGCACTTTGTTTACTAAACCTTATTTTTAAAAAATAATTTAAATATGATTACTTTTACTCAGTAATAAAGAAAAAAACTTTAAAGTCCTTTTGCAACAAATAAAACTGGTCTGTTTTACTTGGTATTTTTCAGAATAGAACAATTAATTGAAAACTATAGAATTAAAAAAATAATTATAATAAAATAATTTCAAAAGTTGACATAACAACATAACATAAAAGTTGACATTTAAAAATTTGAAATAACAAATCATATGAAATTTTCTTATCAATTTTGTTTTAAATATGTTGAAGTTAACTCTGGTATTATGAAAATTAATGTTAAAATAAAATTTTATTAAATGATTTAATTTATTTAATACAAAACTAATTGTTGATATTTATAGAAATTCTTTTTATTACAAAAATATCTTTGTATAAAATTTCACAAAGTTTTATTAAATAATTTCTATACTATTAAATTTTGAGGAAATGTTTAAAGTTCAAGAAATTTTTCATAAATTACATTATTATGATTTCAAGAAAAAACTCATCAAAGTAATCAAAATATTCTGCATTGTCCAAGTAAAAATATGACTTTTATTATTACTATTTTTTGTTACAATATTTAGTTTACATGTCATATTTTAAGATAAAATCACGATTTCAGGTGCATACTTAAATTCTAAATAAGAATTAATATCAAAATTACAAAGTGAATTTTTACTGCAGGGTGCAATAAATGAATTTAATTAGCATAATAAGCAAAGTATTGCAAACAGGGTTGGCATGATTTTAAAAAATGTTTTAAAACATAGGCATTGGATTTAAAACATTTTTTTAAAACATGTTTTTTTGAAATTAAAAAACTCTTGATCTAGTAAAATAGAAAAAGAAAAAAAAAACAGAAAAACTTCAGTGTATGACTCAAGAATGTACAGAATGTTTTATTTAATATAAAATATAGCATTTTTTAATGTTTATTTATGCAATGGCATTTTTAAGATTTGCATGTACAAATATCAAAACAGGATTGACACCAGTGGCTTCTGCAGCTTCTTCTTCTTTTCAGAAATACAATGCTTAGTAGTATTTTTTTAGGTGCTTGAAAACTTTAACAAGTTTGCTATCATATCCTGTCCAAGTCAATTTCTAAGTTTTAAATGAACAAGTCCGTAGGTAGAGAAAATTCTTTCAATTACCACTGAAGAAGCCACTGCTGTGTGCAGCTGTGTAACTAATTTTAAAACAGGTTGATTAATTCTGTCACGTAATGACTGTCACCTTGTAAGAGGAGTGATATTAGTTAACATAGACTCTGCAAACACGTGTTGCAGAAATGGGCTAGATTTTGCCAAGTATTTTAAAACTGAAGGCCCAGTAAAAAGAAATGTTTAAAACAGACGCTATGTCTGTTTTAAAATGCGTATTTTAAAACAGACCAGCAGTAGTAAGCATGGCACAGAGTTAGTGCAGCGTCCTCATACTCAGAGCCGGATCATCGCATAGACAAATGGTTTAGTTTTTCACATTATTTAGTTTTGTTTTATTTATTGTTTTATATTTTTTGTGTGCTCTATTTCTTGTAGGAGAGGGAGAGGGCCCAGTAAAAAGAAAGTGTCTAGGGCCCTAAAGTGAGTTAATCCAGCCTTGTTCATACTATCTGTGAGCTTTGCACTCTGGTATATTGGATCCAGAAGATTTGCTAAAAGGTGATAGTCTGTGATAGCCATATGAAATCTGTCTTTGGCTGCTTGCGTTACTCCAGTGATCCCAAGTTGTTGCAAGTCATTTTGAACACTATAAAAGTAATGTTATAAAAAACTTTCGCTGCAAAAGTAATTAATAAAATTTTCATAGATCATAGATAACAATGTATATGTATTAGCCCATACATTTTTGGAAAAGGACTGTTTTTTTCGTAATGCTATGGAGATAACTCAGGCAAAGAACTAAAGAATATCTATATAGATTCAATTGAGTTATGACCCAGGAAAACTTTATAGCAAGCTATAGAAAATTTTAAAACTTATACTGGTTTTGCATGTTTTTGTTCCTTTATATCATCTTGTAGATGGTTATCTTCAATATATTTTTTCATACTAGCGACTAATCTAACCATTTCTTTCCTACATACTGTATTTTGAATTGCACCTGCATGCCGGTTTTCCCGAATTTCCAGAAATTAGTTTGTACTGGTTCCAGATATTATCAAGCCTTCTTCCTGTACTCATTTTTTACTTAACAAGTAATGATGATAATAATAATGTCTTTTTCCATCCAAGTAATATTACAATACATTAGCTGTATTGCTAACAGTATTAACTGGCATGTGCTATCAGTAAATCTCCTCTTAGTGATAAAAGTCACATATCACGTGCTTTCATGACCCATGAGAGTGAGAAAAATTTCCTACTCCCATGCTGACATTTAGCTCACAAGTCAGAAAAAGTTTATTTACTAAATTTATGTAATAAAACATTCTTTTTTAAATTTAAAACATTGTTTTAAAACAGTATTTTATAATGTAATATTAAACTGTTTTAAAACAAAAAAAACAAAGGTTTATAAATAAAGCATGTGTTATTGCTTTATTTCAAAAAAAAACATAAATTTCCCAACCCTGATTGCAAATGCAAATTCACTTTGTACAGTACATGTTAAATCAAGTAAACTTACTAATTAACAATAAGACTTTTTTAAAAATTTACATGACTGTTAAAATAAAATCATTCTATTCAGTGTGTAATCTGTATTAAAAAACTGTAAAATTAAATTTTATATGAACATTTTTACCTGCAGTATAATAATATTTTTATGACAAAAAAATTGAGGCATGAAAAAAAGAATAAATTGAAACTGAAAGAAATAATTATAGATAAAGTTAAATAATAAAATAATTTCTTAATTGATAAAATATTCTGTTTAAAATTAATGAAATAAATTTAATGTTCAAAGGAAGAGAATCCAAATATTCATCTAATCTTAAGTATAATTCTTTTTCTGACAGTGCACAGTTATTTATGCTTCATATGCTTAATGTATTTAATTACAGCACAACAATAAAATTATATACAATTAATTATTTCATACATTTATACAATTAAAAATGTGTCCATTTTCTAAAATATAGTACAGTACATGCTCAAAAATGTGCATGTCTTTTCCAACTATACATAACCATGCATGCATGCAGTTTAGAGGAGATTATGATCATAAGTAAAATATATAACCCTGAACCATTTAAATTTGTGCTGGTTGTTGAAACATTACAATAAATTTGGTCTCTCAAGTGTTGAATTTATTGTATTATATATATATATATATATATAATTGTCAATAAATAATAGATATTAATTTTCCATTATCAAATGTAAAACAAAATATATAATTGATTTTTAATGGCATTTATACATAAATATTTATGCATTTATTAAACCAAATGTAGCTTTATCTACAAAAAAACTTTTAAATTTAAATAATATCATCAAATATAAATAATAATAACAGTATAAACAATAAAAATAAAATCTAACTTTGAAGCATTTGTCAGTCATATTATTAAAAAAACATTGAAGTATAAAATAGAAATTATTAAATTATATGACTTAAAAAAATATATTGAAAATTAGGTATAATACTATTAGATAATGTCATAAAAGAAGTATAAATTATTTAATCAAATTTAGGTATGCAGTATATTTATTTTGAATTTTGTTGAATAAATACAACTATTACTTATTTCAAGTAATTGTCACTATTCTTGCTACTGTTTGAAAATACTTTCGTCATTATCTTATAAATTTAAATCTTTCCAGAATAATTAAATTAATTTTTTTAATTCTTTGTTTTCCAATTTTTTAATCTGTAATCAAGTTAAATCTAACTAAAATAAAGCCTATTTTAATAAAATATTTTCTATATAAATTATAATTATTTCTTCAGTAAATCTATGTTATTATTTTTAAAATCTTTTAGCATCTTGCTAAAATTTCTTTTCTGTAAATTGTGTAATATAGAGTTACAGAAGTCAATTATTGTCATAATTCATTGTTTTGAATTTAAGTCAAAGATAATCCAAAGTATATATATATATATGTTACTGTGAAAGACTGAAATTAGAGAATATCAATATTCTCTGGTGAATGTAGACACATACCAAATGTGTTGGTGAAAGACTGAATATTTGGTTATATTATTATACATTTGAACCATCACCAGTATATGTCAACAAGCACAGATAAGCTCTGGTGGAGGTCAAAAAAAAACAGCCAGAGAGAAGGAGAGAAGCAACAAAAGTGTCAGATCCTTTGTTCTCTCTTGCTAAATCCTCTGTTGTGATTGAGGTAACAAGGCATCTATTTGTTATACTCTCAAACACTCTGCTGTTTTTCAGTCTTATGCAAGGTTTGCTGGTGTGTGCAATGTTCACTTAATTATTATTTTTTTTTATCTGATATCCTAATTTATATTGAATGGCTACTGCAGTGACTGTAATCTTTTTCTTTTGAAAAGTTATGTGCATTATTTGCAAGTAAACGAGAAAACAATTGTTTTTATTTTTCTCAAGAAAAGTACTGTAAAATACTTTCTGAAGTGTTTTCTGCTAAAACTAAGTGCAGTACATCTTTGGATTACAGACACTTAAAACATTTTTGCATGTTAAAAATTAACGATGAATAGAAGTTAATTATGCCATTAAAACCAAGAGAAACAGTATTATGATACCAATAATGAATCGTTCAGTATACTATCCAAAACTCATATCAGAATAGGCCATGGAGGAAGAACACATATGCTTAAAGAATTGCAAGTTAAATACAAAAATGTTACATATGAAGTTGTAATGTTGTATTTAAATTTATGTAAACAATGTCAAATGAAACATAGTGCACCTAAAAAATGTATTGTTGTGAAACCAATGGTCAGTTCGGATTTGAATTCAAATCGATCTGATAGACCTGCAGTCACACAGGGTTAGTGATTACAAGTTCATAATGGTATATCAAGACCATTTTATGAAGTTTGTCCAGTTACGACCTTTAAAAACTAAGACAGATGAAGAAGTAACATATCACCTTCAAATATTTTTAACATTTAGTACCCCAGCTATATTCTATATTACATTCAGATAATGGTAAGGAATTCAGTAATCAAGTCATATCCAAACTATGCTCTATGTGGAAAGATGTTAAGATAGTCCACAGAAAGCCTTGTCATAGTCAAATACAAGGCTCAGTTGAAAGAGCCAATCAGGATATACAGAATATGTTAACTGCATGGATGAATGATAACAATACAAATAAATGGTCAGATGGTTTGCCCTTTGTTCAATTTGCCAAGAACACAAAATACCATGAAGGAATATGCCAAAGTGCTAATGAAGCCCTGTTTGATGTTAAACCAAAAAGAGGAATAGCAATGCCATCTTTTCCTGGCAAGCAAATCACAAATATTGTAATGGAAGAACAGCTCCAAGAAATTGTTAATACTTCAAAGAAAATTTGAAGTATTGTGTGACCATATCGAAAATCATATTCCAAAGTAAAATATTGAAGATGAGCTGCAACCTACCACATCTTCATATCAAGCCCTGACTGAACAACACAAGTTTATTTCTAACCCACCAGTGGCCAAGCGGTTCCATTCCCTGAATACTGGGAGTTCAGTCGTGGGTTCATGCTTCACCCAGACATGCTGGCCACGTGTAGTTTCCAGGTTTTCTCCACATCTGTAATGCTCAAATAGGGGCCAGTTATCCTTAAAAAGAACTCCCTGAAGGCATCCTCCTAGGCAGATCGCCCAAGTGTTGCATTGCCATAACTTAACAAAACAAACAAGTTTATTTCTATAAAAAGAGCTACCGCAAAAGAGAATCTTCTACTTCAAGAAACTTTTTGAAGTTCGTTACATATAAATGTTATGAACCTCAAAAAGTTTCCTCCTGCTCAAATTGGTGATACGGTACAAATACAAGCCCCTGATGTTGACCGTGGTCGTACAGATGCCTGAAATGTGTTGTTGGTTATTGTTGGAATAGAAGACTCCGACTTTTATAAATTAGCAAACAAAAATGGTAACCTCAAACAGCTTTATACCTGTAATCAGTTCCTAATTTGTAAAGAAAAGTTACTTTCCATATATGAGATTTCTTCTCAAGAAATGTCACTGAGAGAACAGCTGCAACTAATTCAAGAAGTGGTGGGAAAGGCTATATAAATGCTGTAATTGCAAAAAGAAGTGTTCCACAAGTAAATGATGCAGTTGTAAAAGCAAGACACTTTTGTGCAATTCAAAGTGTCATAACAGTTTAACTTGTTGCAATAAATAAGATAAATTATGTGATTAACATTATACAATGTGTAAGTTTATTATTGGTATTATTTTCTTTTCTAATTTAGAATGTACTCATTTTAGGTCCAACAGTTTATATATATGTGCTGTTACTTAAGCTTTCTCCTATTTTGACATATATCATATATTAAAAAGTTGAATTTTGTCTTTATGTAATAAAAATATTTTATTCAACATTCACCATCAGTGCTAGCTGATTGTCGACACTTACCGGTGTAAGTGAGAAATAATATTTAGCAAATATTTCGTGCATACACCAAGCAACTATGTGAATGCTGACATTCACCAGAGAATATCGACATTTGCCAGAGATCAGTCTTTCACAGTAACATATATAATACAGTAAGATATATTATATTACATGTTTATATATGGGTTATCAATACTTTTACAAATTTTAAACCTAATTTTAAATTACATTATGTTAAATTGTTAGTGGACTGTATTTAAAGACATCATAATATATAAGGTATAACAAAACTCGTGCCAATATTTTAGAGATAGATTCTAGAGTGTAAATAAGCTTAAAATTCTCTATAAAAAATTTTCAAATTCACCTTTGTTTTCAAGATTTGGCCTGCCAAAAAATTGTATCTGCATCTGTAGAGGACATTTTGACCAATTCAGGTAAATTATTCTGTTTAATTTTATAAAAACAAAATGTTATTCAAAGTAAATTTATATTGAAAAACTTTTTCTTTCCAACTATTTTTAACTTTTTTATTTTAAAATAGATGGATATTGCAAAATCTTAGTGGATAAGGCTTTGTTTACATGTATTTCAGTAAAGCAACATTTATTTACTTCAGTCCATTGACAAAAGCATAGAAAATTACAGAATCACTTTAAAAAGTTGACATCTCTAGTATTAGTATTTTGGTGGAGAATTTGAAAAAGATCTTTTCTAGCAAGCCAGATCTCAAAAATGAAGCAGAATTTGAAAACTGTTTATGGAGGAGTTTAAGCTTATTTTCGATCCTAGAATCTATCCCTAAAATACTGGTAGAGTTATATTACACCAATACAACATATTACATAAAACTTGATAACAGAACAATTAGAATATCTAACTAACAATAACTATTTTATAAAACAAATATAATAAGTAATATTGAATTTAATAAAATTTTATGATTCTCAAATATACTTAATTTTTCAATGAATTTTATAAAACTTATTTAATTAGAAAAAATTTAATATTTTAATCAATTTTTACTTTCAAAAATTATTTCAAATAACATTTCATATAATGATTTTTAAGTAAATTGTATTGATATTTTATACTAGATGTTGTAGATTATTAAATTAATTATCAATTTAAAATTATTGTTACCAAAATATTCTTTGTATTTTTAAAAAAGAACAGTTAACTCAATAATTTTTAATGTGAAAGTTTCATCTAAAAGAACAAAAAATATTTGAAACTATATTAATTTTGCAGATATTTTTATAGAATATACATTGTGCTACATGAAGTTTGCTTTATGTAGACAACTATTAAATTCTTATATGTAAATATATTTTTATTACAAAAATTCTTTTTAACAAAAAGACTTATTAAATCAAGGTTAAATTATAATCATTGAAACTATCATGAAAAAATTCTTTAATATTTAATTCAGACTTGAATTCAGGTATTTCAGAGTGGCAGATGCATTGCCTTAATTGCTTCAGCTATTCAGCTGTTAACTGTGTGATTTTTACATTAGAGAAAAAGAAAATTTTCATCACTTCAATAATTATAAACATTAAATATAACAATGCTTTATTTGAATGAATATTTTTATAGTACTGTGTTTTACATGTATTCATAGTATCAAATAAATTATAACTGCAATAAATACATAAGCAAAATATTATGAAAACATTAATTCCATCTTTCAGGTCACTGTAAAATTATTCCTTTAGAAGAAAAATTATTTTAATAATCATTTGTTGATTTAAAATATTTTCTAATTTTAAAAAATACATTTTAAATGGAATAAATTTAAATACAAATGTAAACATATAGTTGTATGTTTAGAGAATTTCGAGTTTACCATAATTTATTAAAAATAATATTTCAATTTCTGTTTCTGAAAATTTTTTATCTTAATTTTAGACAGTTTCTTGACAGCTTAATTTATAATGCAATTAAAACCCCATAGAAAAGTAAACAAAATAAACATAAAAATGCTATATTAACTTTTATATACTGGAAACTTAATTAAAAAATTTATTTTACATAAAAATTATCTTTGGTCCTCAAATATAAATCACCATGTCTAAATAGTTAACATATAAAAGTTAAAATACTATCACATGGTTAAAAGTTTTATCATGTAGTTATCACATTATAAAATAAATATTACAAGGTTGACATACATATGCCAGTATATAAGTCAACTTCAAGATTTTCAGCTCAAGATTCTGATTTAGACTTAGGGCTTATATAGCAAGATAGAACTGAAATATATGTAGGGTATACTGTAGTCTATTGAAAAACCATATAATAAGGCCATGCCACTTTTATGGAGATTACTAGTCATAAATACATCTTATATTAAAAAAGTATTATTATATAGTTTGTAGAAAAAGGGATATGGGTAACAGGATCTATGTAAAACCACCAAGCAACTTTCAGTAGCTTATCTTAGTAAGAAATGTACTATACATCAAGTTACTAGTAAATATATTGAAGTCAAATCATCACCTCCAATAAAGTATTAATAGTTTATGTAGTACAATACCAAGATAATATCTTTTCATACAGTATGTGATGATAAAACATGATAAATACATTGCCATTTGCATCAATGATTTATGGGTGCTATATCAGGTATTGGAACTAGAGCTTAATACAATAATAAAAATTTAGTATAAATGCATACATTATACCATACATTATGTTAATTAAACAAGTTTGTCAAGGGTTCAGATGGAGATATTTGTTGCCTATGGAGTTACATAAGTGTACACAGTGACTAGTTTGAATGCCTTTAGTACAAATGTTTGCCTAAGACAGAGATTTCCATTTAATTCAGCTATATAAGTTGACTCTTAGTTTTGGATAGATTTTTTTAATCTTAAAATTCAACTTATATAATTATTAACAAATATACCAGCATGTAAGAAATTGTAAAGCTAGTTATTATTGCTATAATTTTGTCCCAAAATGTTGTCATTTCAAAGCATGGAATTTAATTAAGTTTTCATTTTTATACCAGTATAAATTTTCTATTTTCTGCATGTGATTATACAGACTAAAAAGAGATAATACAAATTGCACAAAATTGAAAGATTATAAAAGCTCATATTTTCTTATATAGATAAAAGTTACAATTATTAAAAATACAATGTAGATTTGCCAATTTTTGTCTGTTTTCAATAAAAGTTTAAAAAAATAACTATAAATCTAAATTTCAAATTTAATGTGTTACTCATATTTCTGATGAAAGTTTACATGAAATATTTTATTGCTGATATACTAACATTAAATATATTTTAAAAATTTTCATGTAACTTTATCTTCCTTTAGAACAAATTTGCAAAAATTTTATCTTGAATGATATCAATAATAAATTATTTTTTAAATTATGTAATTCTGAATGATAAAATGTCTTGAATTTTGAATGTAATTTAAAATTCTTGTTATTTTTAAATACTAAACTGCACTACTAGTAATTAAAAATTGAATAAGAATGATTTTTATAAATAATTTCTTAGCCAGTATTTAATGTACAGTACCTAATATATAATATGTTTTTGTAACATATGTATCATTTATATTACATCATATCACAATTGCACTTTCTTAATAGATATTATGTAAATTCTCAAAAAATGTGTTCGTGATAATTTCATTCATAATTTCTGTATGATCAATAATTTATATATATTTACATGTGATATAAAATTTTTTACATAATACATATATTAATTTATTGGATAATGTATTAAAATGGAATGTAGTGAAATTTGCATATTACATTTTATAATTCAGTATGTAAATTGTGTTTTTTGGCAGGTTCTTCCTGTAGAGATTTCACTTTTAAAGTAAATACAATGTCAGTGAGCCAATAAAAAGATTGCTCAATGTCTCCTTCGGATAAATATGGCAAGACCGTCCATCGAATTATTTCGTAACCAGCTGGTTGAAATATCATTTGATAACAACAGTTAATTTGATCTTCTATGGTTTTCCCTTCAATTGGAAGTGTCTCTACAGGTTGATGACTAGGATTACCTATTTATGAAATGAAAAGAAATTTGTTAACTTTTCGAAAAAGTAAATTTATTATATAAAATATTTCAATTAAATAAAATTGTATATTATTTTAAAATTAACCAATGTTTAAATTTTCAATTTGTCAATTTGACAATTTAAACATTATTGTTTTGATTGAGATTAAGATATATTGTTTTCAAATTATTAAATACAGTTTAAATAAATAATTATTAAAGAAATTGTATTTTTATATGAAATTAATATATATGTTTGTCTTTTTAAATTTTAATGTTAATTCAATATAAATTATATAAATGTTTATTACAAAATATAAAAGTATAAACAATGACATTTTCAATAAAATATGTCTTTCAAAATGTATTGTTACAAAAGATTTACTTTTATCTTAATATATACTTTTTTGAATAAGATTATAATTTTAAATGTAGAAATTACAATATGAAATATGCTAGAAAATATTAATTATTCAAATTCTAATCTTAAAACAGAAATGAAAGAATAAAAGATTATTGATAATTTTTTGTGACAAGGAATAAAAATAATTAAATTATTTAATACTTAAAAAATTTATTTAATATTATACTGTAGTATCTTTTAATTTGTTTTTTGCAAAATAGCATCTTTTTTCCTTTAGTGGTATCTAGTTAAACAGATATAAAATTCAGGTGTAAAAACTTTATATTTTTACACATGAATTTCAGCTGAATAACATGTAGCTTCTGTTTTAAATTTGTTAGATTGGAAATACTATCATCCATATACAGTAGAAGTCCCATATTCATGAAGTTACATTCTGTAAGAATGCCACGAATACAGAATGGCCTATAAGCAGATAGACAATTAAAAAGACCTGATATCATTGTTCCCATTGTTAACTAATCAAATTAGTGCTCAAATTATTAGCTGCATTGGTTGATGCAGTCTAAGTCTTCTGGAGAAACTGCTTCACATTCAACAATAGAGTTCTTTATTGCTATTTGATCTTACAGAAAATAACAATGATGTACTTTTCACATTGTTCAGGGAATGTGGCTTCCAATAGAACACCTTGTCCTTGATGACCCCAAAGAAGAAATCCATGGGTGGTCAGATCTGGGTGATGTAGGGATCACTTGATGGAACCTTAGTGAACAACCATTTGCCAGGAAATTCCTGGTCAAGTACTTATTGAATGTTGGTAGCATAGTGGGATGGTGCACTGTCCTGTTGGAAAAAATCATTATCACATCGGCATATCTGATATTGGAGATAAGCATGTTCTGCAACATTTCCTTAGAGATTCACTAGTGACAATATAGTAGAGCATCAGTTATCCGACTCAATTGGGGACTCAGGTTGGTCGGATAACTGAAAAATCAGATAACCGAAAAAAATACATTATTAGTATAGTATATTAGTATATCCCATGTATTTAGTATATTAGTATATCGCTATTAATTAACCAACTTCGCATTGAATTTTCATCGATGTTAAGCCTAACAAACTTTTTTTTAAATAATAATCATCGCTATCGTATCGTTAAAAATTATTTTAAAATTATTTTATTGCTCACAAAACAAACAACCACTCATAATTAGAAAATTAAGTCTCGTTTAAATACTGGCCGCCCTTTAATGGTCGAGCCGTGTTGCCAGCTAAAACACGCAAAAATTTAACAAAAATAATATTAAAGTAGCCAAGACATAGCCAAATATTGTAGTGCCACATCACTAGCGGACATTTGAAATTTGCCAACTAGAACGGTCGGTTAACCGAGGTGACGGTTAATCGGGAGTCGGATAATCGATGCTCTACTGTACTATCAAAAAAATGGACGAAAGACACTCTTAACTAAGTGCCTACTGTCCATCTATTTACAAGCCACCCTTATAAGTAAATGGACAGAGTGCATTATGATTAGAAAATAAAAACCTATGATAACAGATTTTTATTTTCTAATCATAATGCATCTCTTTTTTCTTAATGTACCTTATGATAGTCATTTATAATGAATGCTTGAGCAATCACAATTGCTGAATTCCTTTCTATGTTAAATTGACCTAGCATTTTAACTTTGTCTTTGAAGGGCATTTTCTTTGATCTTTTTGACATTTTGCCATTGAAGTCTGTTGATTTGTAAGAATAAAAAAAAAAAACTAAAAAATCTCTGAATGAAACATAATGTTGGCATTTACTTACTATTCTCATAAATGCATATGCTAAAATAATGTGAGAAGCTGCAAGATAGTATCCATTAGCTCTGTCTAAAAATCAAAGACACAAATGCATTTAAGACAAAAATACTAAAACTCATTTAATTTTGTTTTCCTCTGCTGTTTCAATGTTTTTAAAATTCTTTTATAAGTAAATTTCAACTTTGTAAATATGAAAAAATGTGACGCTTTTATTGCTTCCTCATCTCTTTTGAATAAAGCTTTTAATTTTACAACTACATTAAATGAAGAGAAATAATCAGTGAGATAATACTGTTACATCTACAACAAATGGAAAATTATTTATTTTATTACAATATTTATCAATAAATAGTTTAAAATTTAACTTTAAATTAAAATTAATTTTAATTTAAAGTTTATTTTGCAAACTTTAACTTTACATTAACATAAAATGAAGAAGTATTTGAATGAAACTTTTGTTTTTAATAAAATTTTCTAGGGAATAAAAATTATATCTTTTCATATATGCTAAAATATCAAGTCCTATTCTATCTTATTCATAATCCTGCTGTGTTCATTCCTTGAAAAATAATATTTTCTTGTATTTAAAAAAATTAAAGAAATTAAATAAACCAAAGCAGTTTGAAGAGTGAATAAAATGTATCAACTTTTGACAGTGAAAAAGATTATTATTTGTACTGTCACTATTAGTGCTGACAACAAAACAACTTTTCAGTAAACTGCAGTTTTAAAAAAATCAAAAATCAGTTTCAAACCCAGTTTTAAACAGACAATGAAATTAGTATCATTATGTTTACTTGTCTTTAACTTTTAATTGACAATAAAGTATGCATGAATTTAAGATAATTTCACATAACATATATAGCTGGAAAATTTCAGTGTAACATTACAACTTGTATACAGTACCAACTTATCCTTGACTTTTTAAAATAATATGCATTACTTGTGTTTAAATTTAAAATTAAAATTAATGTGAAAACTAGCATGAATTAATTTTAAAACAATAAAGTTTTCAAATTCTATATGTTAAGTACTTAGACTCTGATGTTTACCACCATCTTGGTTTTATCAACTTTTTGCAGGAATAATAAATACATGATACAGGCATATTCATGAATCTTGAGTAATATTTACTGTAGTACTTTATTAATATTAATAAAATGTGATAATAAAACATTAACTCTACTGAATCCAAACTGGTTTTGTTTAAACCAATTAACTGAATTAAAAAATTTCTAGTTTTTGCCAACACTAGTCACTATGAAAACACTAAATAATTATTTATTATAAAAATTACAATAAACTATAAATAATATATAAATAATAAACTATAAACAATAAATATAAATCTAATTTTATCATCATCACATTTCAAATATATTTTACCTTCTTTTAGATTGATCTATTTAAAAATATTGAATATTAATAATCTCTTTTAGGTACTAATAAAAAACACTGTCTTTCAGCATTATGCACTTTAATAATTTCATAAACAACAACTAAGCAAGTACTTTCAACATTAATTTTTCTTTTCCATACATTCAATTTTTCAAATATCTGCTCTATTTTTAGAATATGCCAATGTATATTTTTTTAAAATTTACATCTATGTTCCATATAGAGTGGGTGATTGGTTAACGAACAAATTGGATAACAAACACTTTCATGAAAGATTTTTATGTTCAGACAACAAACACCTCACAGAACAAACACAAGAAGAAGTGACGTAAAATAATGAATACCAATTGGTCTTCCCTTGTTTTCAGGTAACAATTCGAAACTTTTTGGAGCACAGGAGATGTCGACATTGACACCCAACCTGGTATATACTGATCAGATAGTATTCCTCAGAACTTTGAAACTCTCCCTTGTAATTCCAATTCTGATGGAAACAATTCTTTTATACTATTTGCAAGACTGTCAGGCGGGCACTTGTTAAGTTTTGCATTGGTTTTTATTTTTGAAAGGTGAAAGTATAATAGCAAAGGTAGAGAGTGGGCAGATGATGTCTGATGTTTCTGGGCAGTATGGCTTGAACAGGTCTACAATAGGCCGCAGTTCAATCTTATCTAAGAAAGATACTGTGGAGTAACAAAAATCACATCTGAGAAATAAAGAACATTGAAGAGCTCATAATGGAACCTGAAACTCATCCGATGACAGAAGAATGCCAAGAACTCTTGAATGAAGAACACCAAGAAAGTCGGTGAGATATGTTTTCTTCTGAAAAAGAGGATTAATGCCGATATCTGCTATTAAACATCTTTTGAATAAGTAGGAGGATATCAGAACAACGGTCTTAGAATGGCATCCAAACCAGGTTGACGTTAATAGGCTTGAGGATCTCTACAATTACAATGTTATTAAATTCTGAAAAATCCTGAAGAAGAGAAAAAAGCAATCAGCATTAGACAGATTCTTTAACCCCCACAAACGGAAAAAAACATGACTAATAAAAATGCAAGACTGTGTATATATGTATTTTTATTATTACATATAAATAAACGTAGTAAGAAAGTGTATATTTTTTATTTTTTGGAATTGCCAGAATGAATTAATCAAATTCCCATAAAAACCTATGGTAAATCGGTAATTGGTTAACGAATAATTCAGATAGCAAACAAAGTATTGGAACGGATTATGTTCATTAACCGATCATCCACTGTATATTCTTTGCCTCAAGATGATATTAATTTAATGTTGAAATGTACAGTACTTGCTTAGCTGTTGCTTATGTGAGGGTCAGAAATTTCGAGTTATAAACTTTAAATTTTTTTAATAAAATTTTAATTAAACTTGGGATACAACTCTATGAAGACGGAA